GGGACCACCCTCCTGACCTTAGACATGGGGGCAGAGGGCAGGACACCGCGGCCCTGCACAGCCCGGAACCACCCTCCTGACCTTAGACATGGGGGCAGAGGGGAGAACACTCCTGCATAGCCCAGGGACCACCTTCCTGACCTTAGACATGGGGGCAGAGGGGAGGACACTCCTGCACAGCCCAGGGACCACCCTCCTGACCTTAGACATGGGGGTAGAGGGGAGGACACTCCTGCACAGCGCGGGGACCACCCTCCTGACCTTAGACATGGGGGCAGAGGGGAGAATACCGCGGCCCTGCACAGCCCAGGGACCACCTTCCTGACCTTAGACATGGGGGCAGAGGGGAGGACACCGTGGCGTCGAGCAGGCCATTGGCAGTGGAGTGTCCCTTGTGCACATTGGTTTGAGAGACTGGAAGTGGAAGGCGGAGAGCTAATCCAAGGACTTCATCCAAGTTGGGTCACTCATTCTTGTCTCCTCCTCGTTTTCTCTTTTTTCCTTTTAGTTTCAGTTGAATAAATTTATTTTAATAAAGAAAGGGAATTTAGCTTTCCAGAGGATCCCTGACTCCTAGCCTAGGGTTTCGGAGGTGGCTATGAGCTTAGTGCCCGCTGGACGGGGCTTAGTTAACGGCATGCAGGGCAGCACACAGTTTTGGTGCCAGTGTCCTGAAGCGAGGCTCATAGGCTCCAGGGCCAGCCGCTCTGGCTGGTTCTGAAATAGTCTCTTGCCTTGGACTTGAGATTTTTCAATCCTGTCCCTGTCTCTGGCTGTGTGTGGCCCTGAGTGAGAGGAAGGACTTGCTGGGCCTGTGCGGGAGGAAGGCCATTCTCTCCCCACTCCAGCAGCGCAGAAGTCTGCTAGGTGGTGAGGACGTCCCCGAAAGATGGGTGTGGAGTGAGCAGGAAGAGAATGGCCTGTAATTTCTGAGCACCAGTGACTCCCTGCAGAGCCAGAGGTGCAGGTTGCGTTCTCAGCGGCCCAGGCCCCGGAGCGCTGGCCCCGGCTGCCCTCGGCTCTTGCACTCATCTCTGCTTCTCCTGGAGCGTGTGTGCTTGCTGCCCAGTCCCATCCTGGGGTCTGTTTTCTCTGGCACACAGACCCAAGCCCTTCACTGTCAGGGTCACATTCCTGGGCCAGTCCCCCGGGAGCTGTGCTACTCTGGGATGCTGGCGCCAGTGAGGTGGGTTGGGCCAGAAGGAAGAGCACCCTCGGGCGTCCAGCTGAGCAGTCAGGGTCAGGGACTTCCTCGGGCTCCCTAAGGAGCTGCCCTCCCCGTACTCTGCTCTTCCCTCCAGAGGCAGAGGCTGGGCAGGACCCACAGCCGGCCCTTGGTGGCCCGCACTCCACACGCAGTCCGCCGTAGGAGAAACAGGGTCTGTGAACCCGGGTCCGGGACACGGTGTTTTGCTTGCACTGTTCCAGACAGCGTCGTCTCCATCTGGTGGCGATCACTTGGTGGTTTGAGCCCCGGCACAGCACAGGGTCGAAGCGTATTCCCTTTTCAGGAGGGTTGACCCAGCTGTCCTTCACACAGACTTAATTTCCTGGACTTAGACCTAACGTCAAGACCAAACCTGTAGGAAATGGGCTTTAACTACACAAACACATACTGACAAACTCAGCCAAACCCCAGGAGTCCAGGCAGAGCCTGTGTGCCTAGCCCAGGTGCGTGTCTGTGCGGGCAGGGGCAGGACCTCAGTCTTCCCTTCCTTCCCCTCCCTACCCATCCCACTGTGGATTCCGGACGCTGTGTGGGTGTCTGGCTCCCCCTGCTGTAGAAGGGGAGTACTGCCCCGGCACACAGCTCCTGCAAGGCCAGTGGCGCCAGGCACCTCCCACAGGAAGAAGATTGGGGAACATTTACAGGTACCCACTTTGTCCCCTGCCCACCTTCTACCCCGGCTCCCTGGCAGCCATCGAAAATTTGCCTCCAAGAGCAGGTCTCACAGACAAATGGTACTGTGCTGGCGAGCTCTGCGTACATCTCAGTGGGCTCCCTGGGCCCAGCCAGCCCGACAGGTGCAAAGTAGCATGGGAGTCAGAAGAGAGGCTCAGGGGGAGTCGGAGAAGGCTCCGGAAGTGGCTGCATGGAATAAGGCCCCATCTGTGCCCCACGTGGTTTGCCGCGAGTTCCTCATCTCCAGCCAACACTTGGCTGCTTCTCTGATGCAAGAAACCTCCTGTCACCAGCGCAGGTGCCTTTAACGTTTCTCTGAGAAAGGAGGAAATGCTGGCTTGTGCTGTGAGTAAGTCCCCAAAGCTGCATGTGTCAGCAGGCCTCAGAGAAGAATACCTCTCTTCTGTTTGTTGCTGAGAAGGTAGAGAGAGGCCCTGCCATTCTCCTTGACTTACCTTCCTCCGTCCTGCAAACATCCAGGCTGTTAGGTGACTTTGCTGTGATTCCGTCCCACCCAGCACCATAAAGAAAGGCAAAATGACCTTAGAAAAAGTCCACAAATCTCTGGAGACCAGCAACTCCAGCAAGGGGCTAATACCCCACGTCCGACAGAGCGCAGGGCCAGCATCGCACTGGGTGGTCTCCTGGTCCTTTCTGCCTATTTCACATTCTCTGTCGCTTGAAGAGGCTGTCATAGTGACTGAAGCCAAGGCCAGCTTGTCCAGTTAGACTCTGAGAGGAGGCGCGACACCCGTTCCAAGATGGAAGCTGGCTCCAGGCAGGAATGCGAGCCCTTCAGCTCAGGCGGCATCTGCTCTTGCTGCCTGAACGGCCACCCTCCCTTCCCAGTTGCTGGCTGCTCCTTTATCTTAACCCAACTACATGGCATGGTCCAAGCACTCAGTGCAGGGGTCCCACAGGGCAGGGATCCAGAGTGGCCACCGGTGAGTTTCCATTTAGCTGAGAAACCAGGCCTTGTTTCCAAAGGAAGGTGATACGCAGGGCACCACGTGGAGTTTTCAGGAAAGGGCTTTGACCTCAGAGAGGTGTTGGTCTCACTCTCACCCTCGAACTTCCAGTGTTTGGAAATGTGCAGGAAATAGCTCTGCTTCCCTCCCAGCTGTCACCTCCCCTGGGTCCACCCTCCACTGGGATCTGTGTCCTTGCCTCGGACCCAGCTTGAGGCCTGCTAAGGGAGGGGGACTTTTTCTCTCCAGCAGCAGCTTCAGCTGCAGAAGATGCAAACCAAGGTGCAGCAGAGTCTGTCTCTGCCCTGTGTGAGCTGGCCGGCATGGCAGAATGACACAGTCTCTCCCCACCTCTCTTGCCACCTGGCCATCAGCTGGGCAAACAGTAGTGGGCACCTTGCTGTGTGACCAGCAGAGGGGCAGGATAGTGCATCCCTGGAGTCTCACACTGCCAGGGACAGAGCGGGTCCTTGTGACCCTGGGGTCTGGGCCTGCAGGAGCAGGCTAGAATCCACTCTTTTTCCGGGTTGGCACATGGGTCGCCTGAATGCAGCTTAGGATGAAAGGAGCCTTAGAAAAGAACGTGTGATTCTCTTCACTGAATTTAATGGTACACATGTGGCTGGAAATGACCAGTTCACACTGAATGAGCAGAAGGAGAGAGAGAGAGAGAGAGAGAGAGAGAGAGAGAGAGTGAGTGTGTGTGTGTGTGTGTGTGTGTGTGTGTGTGTGTGTGTGTACATGTGCGTATGTGCTCTTAATGTTTACTTCTTTCTGATTCATACTGATTTGGCCAATGCTGTAACTTCTCTTTCTGTTTCCTTTCCCACACTATTTCATCCCCTCCTTCCCCACCTCGTCTTCTCCACCCCCTGACCCTGGGACACTAGCCGGGAACCAGAGGCTCCAGCAGGTCATGCACGCGGCGGATCCTCTGGAGATCCAGGCCGACGTGCACTGGACTCACATCCGTGAGAGGGAGGAGGAAGAGAGGATGGCGCCCACCTCCGAGTCCTCTGCCTCCAGAGGTAACCACGCCCAGCCCCTGGCCGCAGTGCCCCAAGCACCACCCACCTGCCACCTCTGTCACCACAGGTGGCCTTTCTGTCAGGCAGAGCCCCCATCAGATCAAAGGCACACCCCCTTTGCTGCTGTCACTTGTGACCCCCGTACTTCTCATCTGAGGATATGTAAAGTTCTCTGTGGATTAAGAGGTTGTGGATTCTTTCTCCATTGATGCAGAATGGTCAGATGAACCTGATCTTGGGTAAACCAAGAATTTTGCTGTCTTTCTCCCATGTTTCTGGTCACGGCTGCTCTTTCCCCACTTTGTAAAATGTTCTGGTACTTTCCTCACAGGGTGTGTCTGGACATGAATGTGTGTTGGCAGGAGGGGGGGCGGGAGCAGCATGTCTTGAAGTGAAGTGATGTCTTGGAAAGCGACGTCTCTCCAGGAGGCCTCCACAGTAGGGTGGTCTCCAGCCCCAGGCTTGGGTGAGACGGTCTGCGCCACACAGTAGGATGAAGATGCACCTTATGCTGGCTTCATTTGTAATAAAGGAATAGCAGTAAGAGGAAACCCGTGCAGACCAGAGGGACATGGCGACCGCTGTGCCGTCCTCCCCTGCATGCCGTCTTCCAAACGCCCACCCTCAGTGTCCCTGACCTCCGCTGTTACTCCTGTGCGTGCACGTTTTCATTCGGCACCAGTCACGGGCCATACACCCTGCCAGGCTCTGGGCATACAAAAGGGGCGTTTCCTGCCGTCATGAAACAGCATTTAATGAGACGATTGTTCTTCCCCGGCCCCAAATCTTCACCTATAGGCAAGACCAACCTCCGTGTTCAGGTTGCGGCGGCGCTGTGAACACCTGCATGCGCGGGAGCACCCTGCAGCCCTGGGCCAGCTCTGCCTTGGGTTCCCCCCTTCCCTCCTCATCCCGATTCTCCACCACAGGCCGGCAGCAGCGCTCACGCCCCTTGGTGCCGGGCGGGCCTCTGTTCTGAACGCTGCCTCAGCTTCTCTTCTGTTTGGATTTGAAGGATGACCTTGGCTCTCCTCATTGGGAACGCGTATTGCTGTGTAACGTTGTACTTGTCGTCTGTTTTAAATTCAGTGCCCGACCTTCCCTCCGTACGCCGCGCGGCGGTGCAGGCCTGGCTGGAGACGGTCTCCGGAGGTAGTCTGGTGATGTTCATTCTCTCCCCACTCATCATAACCTCTCTCTAGGCGGCTCTGCTGGTACCTTAACACTAGACTCCTGGGCCTGTCGCTAGTGCATGCCAGGGCGGCGGAGGCGGGCGGGGGCACCTGCATGCCTTGCAGACAGCCCGCCCTTGCATGGATCAGACGCACACCCCTCCTTCAGGGCAGCCCAAAGGGAAGCAGGAGGGCAGGCACGACGGACACAGGCAGGTTTTTACTGACAGCTGGGTAAAAAGGCCAAAGCTGAAAGAGCATTTTTGGCACTGTGATTTAAAGTGTGTTGAAATCGAGGTGGGTAGATTAAATGTGAAAGGGGAGGAATCCGAAGATACTTCACATGCCTACAAGGTATCAGAGAGGGAGGCAGTCAAAGCCAGGGGTTATGGGAGGGTGACTGTGAGAGGGAAGAGCAGAGGAGGGGTGGGTGTTGGTCAGCTGAAGGTGAGGACAGGCTGGCTGTGACCATGGGCACTGAATTTAAAACAGACACATCCAGCTTGAGCTGCAGGCGTCTCTTCAAGCACAAGAGATTGTTGAGCAGCCTGTGTTGTCCTCCCTAAATTTTTCTGGAAGTGTGTTTCTCACTGAGAGGCTGCTGACATCTGGGGCAGGACAACTCTTTCCCTCGAAGAAGGTTTAACATTCTTGGCCTCCACTCGCCATGAAGACACCCAGAATCCCCCCCTGAGTTGTCAGCCACTGCTAGAGGAAGGACAGTGTTGCCCCCAACAGCACCGCTGTCCTAGCGGTCACTTCTGGGTCACACACGGGAGCTCGTGGGGCTTCCCCAGCCTGTCCCTGTGTCCTCCCGGCAGTGGGAGAAACGCACACGCACACGGCCGCAGGGAAGGACCACTGCTCTGTGTGCTCCTTGCCCTCTTCTAGACAGCGTAGGTCCCTAGGGCGGAGGGCAGGAGCCTCCCAGCTGGCAGCTGAAGGGAACCAAGAGCTGAGTGGGTCAGTGGCTCCTGGCTTTCCTAGCGTGTGGCTCATCAACCTGCGTGGCAGCTTTCAGCACCCTGCATTCCATCTTAACCTGAATTTCACCCCCAGATCCACCCTTCGAGCTGCGTCTCTTTCAACACTGCTGCTGCGTTATTTCTCACCTGTTTGTTTTTTTAATCTTTGTGACGATTGTTCCTTTCAAGGTACTGCCAAGAGTGTAGACTTCTCACCCCTGACTCTACCACAGGCGTGTCTTAGTGGAAAGTCTATAGGAGAGCCACATGAAGGACCAAGGCACCAGGATGGGATCGGGCTAACCCAGGGTGCCTTGGATGGTGCCCGGCTGGGAGGCCTGTGTGGGTCTCCTGGGTGCTGGTGTCCAGTTCACTCACCAGCGGGAGTGTAGAGTTGCCATCTTGATGCCTGGGCACCCAGAATCACCCCAACAAGCCTGTCGGGCACGATGGCCCTCTCCATGGGATGGGCCAGATTCCGTTCTCAGGGGGGCCTTTGTCCCGCCAGCCTTCTCAGAATTGCTGTAGTGCAGCGTGAATTATTTTGTCTGTGCCTCAGAAGTCCCACTCCCTGCTGTTGGATGAAGTGTCTTCCCTCGAGTGGCCAAAAGCAGTGTTTTCACACCGAGGCTTTAACCAATAGAAATATTTGAGGCGTTTCCGCACTGCTTCCCCGGCAGGTGGCGCTGCTGTAGGGTAGCATTGGGCACGGCCAGCTCCGTGGGCCACTCTGGTGTCTCAGGGAGACGCCTGGCCCCGTCAGCCAGTCCGGGAACCCGCCCATCTCCCCGTGACGTGGGCCGTCTGTTGCCTTCCAAACCTGTTTCATACAGTTCTTCAAAAACTAGATTTGAACCCGCATCTTACATACAGCCTAAGGAATTATTAAAGAAACAAAAACTTGCAGCCGGGCACAGTGGCTCACGCCTGTAATCCCAGCACTTTGGGAGGCTGAGGTGGGCGGATCACGAGGTCAAGAGATCAAGACCATCCTGGCCAACATGGTAAAACCCTGTCTCTACTAAAAAATAAATTAGCCAGGCATGGTGGTGCATGCCTGTAATCCCAGCTACGCGGGAGGCTAAGGCACGACAATTGCTTGAACCTGGGAAGCGGAGGTTGCAGTGAGCTGAAAACGTGCCATTGCACTCCAGCCTGGACAACAGAGCAAGACTCTGTCTCAAAAAGAAAAAAAAAAAAAAAAAACACGTAACTGCCACCTCGGTCAAGGAATAAAACGTTCTGGCATTTTCTAAGTGCCTGGCCTGTGGAGAGAAGACACTGTGTCCTTCCACACAGTTTTTGAAGAAATCCGCCTAACCAGGCGCCACCAGCTCCCTGCTCCAGCCTGGGGCTTTGATACGCAGGCTCTTGTATGTGGGCCTCAGAGCATAACTCCTTTCTCCTGAAGTTAAAACCGTTAGGGGTAATTTGAGGGTGGCTGGGCTTGAACCCTAGGAGAGCCCTCAGACCCTGGCAGTGGTCCCGTGGGTCTCAGGTGGCGCAGGTCTCACAGTGTCCGCAGAGCGGAGCGTGCTCTTCCTGCTGCTGCAATTTCTGAGTGTGGGAGGTGAGGCAGGGTGTGTGCGTGCCTGGGGGCTGGCTCCCGGGGAAGGCAAGTTGTCAGGGGCTTTGCCCCGTATTGCAGCCCTAAAGGGCCACTTGGGGTCCAGAGGATGAACTTTACATACCCTCAGCCCCCCATGCTCTCACGAAGTATTAATATTCCTCTAAATTATCCCGAGGGAAGCTCATCTGGTGCCCCTGCACACGGCACTGTGAACAGCCTCCTCCGCTGTCTGGACCTCGGCTTTCTCACTGAAAGAGAGGAATTGGAAACAGTCCCTCTAATTATGTGGCAGGCTGGGTGTTTCTTATCCGAAATATTTGAGACCAGAAGTGTTTTGGATTTCAAATTTTTTTCAGCTCTCTCATAATGAGAGATCTTGGGGACGGGACCCAAGTCTAAACAGGAAACTTATTTATGTGTCGTGTACACCTCATACATGTAGCCGGAGGATAATTTTATGCAATATGTTTAATAATTTTGTGCATGAAACAAAAGTTTTGGCTGTGACTGTCACCATATGAGGTCTGCTGTGGAATTTTCCACTTGGCCTCTTGTCAGCACTCAGAAAATTTCAGATTTTGGAGCATTTTGGATTTTGGATTTTCAGATTCGGGGTGTGAGGCGGACGGCACGGTGCCTGACATGGCCAGGCTTTGGCACGTGCTGCTGGGCTCAGGCCCAGAGAAGCAACATTTCCCCTTCCACCCTCCTCAGCTGAGGCTCCTAGAGTGGCCTTTAGGGGAAGATGGACGGTCCCCACCTTCAGCCACTCTTCTCTTCCCACTTGGCCCCTAGCATTGAGAAATGCCAACCTCCCATGTTTGGGGGCCCCAGGCCCCCCCAGTGCCCACGCTGTGTGCGGAGAGCTCCCTGGGCCTGGCACCATCTCCCCTGTCCCGGGGCCTGCATGGCACGGTCCTGAGAAAGGAAGATGCAGCCTGTCTGTCTGCCTTTCCTTCCTTCCTTTGAACCTTTCTGCTTTGCAGCCCCGTTGGATGAGAATGACCTAGAGGAAGATGTGGACTCGGAACCAGCCGAGATAGAAGGCGAGGCAGCAGAGGATGGGGACCCAGGGGACACTGGTGCTGAGCTGGATGATGGTAGGGGTCCGCCTTCCCCACCCCCGTGGTGGGAGCTCAGGGAAGATGAAGGAAATACGCTTTCCAGCAAAATCAAGCTCAGTGAGGCAGCCATTGGGCCTCCTGGTTCCCTCTTGGCTCTGCCATGACTGGAATGCATCTCATTCCACCCAACCACCACCCACCCACAAGCACCAGGCGACTCGTCTGGCTGAGCTGGGCGCCTGAGCCACACTGTGGCTTCATACAAGCCCTTTAATCCAGCAGACTGGCTCCCAAAGCTAGATACCCAGAGGTGTGTTCTGTATCGCAGTCAGGTTGTGGGGGGCTGAGGGGCTCAGGGGCGAAGCTGAGAGGAGTGAGAAGCGTCCGAGCCTGTGAGGGGTGCAGGCCCCAGCTGTGGACGTGCGTGGCAGCCGGGCTGCTGAGAGGAGGAGGTGGATAGAAGGGCCGTGGGGCCAGGCATGCCCTCCGCAGGCCCCGTCTCTCTGTCACGGTCCGTCATGTGTCACTATTGCTGTGTTTAAAAAGAAACAGAGCCCCACAGGCTTTGATGCAGCCCCACATTCCAAAGGCAGGAGGGTGCTCTTGGCCGGACCCCTTGGGAGGGGGTGGTCCAGCGGGGTGGTCCAGCAGGCAGATCCCTGCATCACAAGGGTCACCTGGCCTGCACCTGAGCAGTTGTATTGCAAATGAGCAAGTAGTGGGCCAGCCCTCAGGGGGAAAAGAAGCCAGCCTTGCTTAGGGTGTGCCCCTGCTTCTGCCCTGCCCTCTGCCAGATCAGCACTGGGCCGACAGCCCGTCGGAGGCCGACAGAGAGCCGCATCTGCAGCGCCCGGCTGAGGGGAAGGAGCCGGAGCTGAGGGCGCCAGAAGATGAGGAGAAGCCCATCTCAGCGAAGCAACACGAGAGAGGTGAACCTGTGGGTGATGGGAGAAACAGCTTTCAGCATTCCCGCAAGAGCCATGTGTGCACGAGAGTGGCGCAGGGGCCAGCCACTCCAGAGCAGAGCCACAGTGCACACCGGCCTCCCAGGTGCAGGCAGCTCCTCGCCTTCCCTCCTCCGTCC